TTTCTTTCTGCACAAAAAAAGCAGATTCAGATAGAGAGAGATGAGCACATCAGCACATGTGTCTTTGTATGTACATATGGTGGCTTTAGCTAGCTAGCTCTCCAACTTGATTAACGACTATGTGATATGTTTGATGCTGAGGTAAGATAGCAAATTAAGAAGGCCGGTGCATTGGCAGCATACGTACTTAGCAGCAGCATAAAATATTACATGCATGATCAATCCAACGATTATGCACGCACGCATGCAGGCGTATCATCCTTATCTCGTACGTGGCATGCGTTTGCCCATGGCCATATCTTCGTCCGATTCTTCCACGGATTTTGCATACTTTATCTCATCATCAATCTCTTTTTAGTTTGTGTGTGTGATCGATTCCTCTTAATTCGAACATGCCTATATATACCATATCGGATATCTCTACTAGTACTATAATTAGCCCAAATAGTTAGATTCCTTATGGTGTAACTGGCTCATCTAAATTCAAATTCTAGATTTGACACATGTGCTCGTATTGTGACGTACTCGTGGTGACTTCGTTAATCTCAAGATACACCGGCCCAGTCTTCCGGATGTGCTCATAGAAACAATGTGTGCATGCGTGCGTGCTGGGTGAGTGCGTGCACGTTATAAACGTCTGCGTTTGTACTGTGCTTTAAAAAAAATCATTAATCCGCTACTAATCACACCCATATTTTTAAGTATAAAATATACATATAAGTACACCCAAGCATATATGCGTGCATATATCATCGACCAAATCTCGAGCTATCTGCAAAAAAAAAATGCAACCAAATGTACATGTTTGTCGCATCATTATCGTCGAAAAAGGACGCGCTTTTATTGGGAGATTACGTCTTAATTTTCAAGTGCAAGGCTTAGTCATTGTTTGGTTACATGTCATCAGCTGGACCACCAGATTTTGTTGATGGTTAAATTGTTCACGCACATGTGTAAGTCGTTATTAGTACGTACGCGTGCACTAATCCCGTTGTTAATTGGAGATTCCGCGATACGACGTTTTGTTAATTGCGAGGGTTTATCCAACTGATGTGGCACTTTACGCATCATACGCAACGCACCCCCATGATTTTATAATTAAATGGCCATGGATTTGGCTAATTTGGCAAATTAAAGGATCAAAAGGCTCGGCCTCTTTCCAAACGTCGGCATGATAACAATCATTAGGCGCATATTTAGCTTGATCGTGATTTGATTTCCATATTAAGCCGCTAGATTTAATTTTTGGCCGATGGAGTGGCTTCTGCTGCTCTAGCTGTCCACGCACCATTCGTTGGTCTTTCTTTCTGGGTGATAAATTATTTTTTTTCAGTGAATGATGTTTTTTTTCCTTTTTTACTTAAGTTTTACCGTGGGAGTCAATTTAACTAGCTGCAAGAATTTAATCATAATAAATGGTAACCGGTATTGATAATTTTATTTAGTACTTCCATTATCTAAACAAAATGTAATTTTCTTTTGTCTCTCCTTTTTATCTCATATCTAGTCAGCTGGGTGGATTTCCACATGTGATATGATACTGGAGTACGTAGTCTTGATTTTAATTGTTATCTTCACAGCAGAAAGATTAATAATGGACCCAATTCAAGCTAATCCAGCATCAATGGATCATGCATCGAATAGGTTCGAGATAGGCTTGAAAAAAATATTTTTGACAGTTTTAACACATGCATATATGGGCTTGCTAGCTTGCTGATGCCATCTTTCTCAAAAGCACACACATGGTCGCTCCATGTCAGGCTAGCTAGAAATTAATTCAGACCGGATATCATATCATTCTTATAGTATGTTGAATTGTTGATCACTAGCTACCAGCTGAGATTAGAGAATTAATTCAGCTCATTTCAGTTGTTTACATGCATATATATACTGTGCTAGCTCCTGCTATATATGTATGTATAGTATAATTAATTAGATAGGCTCACATGTACCAGAATTATGGGCTATATATATCCATCTGTTGTCTCATTACATGGTTGTATGCATCTGGACAGTTAGGTATTCGACCGTCAAACACCAAAGCAAGAAGATGCTAATTTGGCTGTGTACATAGCAGCAAATTTTATATTACCCTCGCGGCGCCGCAACGCTTCCTAATTGGCATCAATTAATTCAACACGGCAATGTAGTACGGAGTACTCTCCTGCACAGTACAGCTAGTAAGCAACTGCAAATTGATGGTAGAAAAAATCATTTCGATCAGTTCTAACTTGCTGGCACTACTGCTGGATCCGACCACTAGTGCTGCATGAATTTTCATTGTGTCCATATGGTTACTTAACCCCTGTGTGTTCATTGATCCTTTCCAGGAAATTTCCTGTTTGTCGCTAGCTAGCTACAGTTGATACAGTAATATGAAAACTACTGCTACATGAATCAATGGTAGTTTATAAATGCAAGATCATCGAATTGACCAACAATTACTAAATTGGTGGAGTAAACACCACACACAGAAAGAGAGATTAACTAGCACTGTACTGGCTAGGGTATATGAGTACCTTGATCGATGATCGAGTTGATGATGACCACAATTTGCAGTAGAAATTCACCGATATGTGTACATGGACCGGCAATACTGTTGATGAGTCAAGATTGGGATGTTTAAAGTATTTTTCAACTTGTCTTGCACTAGCTAGTAACATAGCTGTATATATTGATCTTGACCTCGGGCACGGTTCGTATCCGGGGGGTGAAAAGTCTAGAGTGGAAAAAAATCTCACCACAGTATATTCTACTATGGTATAAGACCGTTTCATCTCAGTCTCTGTGGTTCACGAGAGTTTGGAAGTCATCACAAAAGTCACAAGTGGTAAGATGATTTTGTATCACACAATGTGACAAGATGCAAATGGTGAAAAATTTGTATATTTACCGGCCAATCTACTCGAGCCGCGAGAGCAGGTTCGATTCGATCAACGTCTACTACTACTACTTTTCGTCTGAACAGAAAGAACATGCTAGCTAGTGCAGTACAGAGCCTGCAGAAGATCAATCGATGCAGTACAAGAACTGGTCGTAGATTTCGTCCAGTCACATGGTGAGACAGCAGAGAGATCTACTTGCTAGTGTTATGTTTCTTCCTTATTCCATATTTTTTACCGGCAAGTAGCAGTAAACTAGTTGACGGTGATGGGCACCAGCGAAGCGATGTGGTAATTAACTTTTGGGTTAAGTTAATTAATTAACTAACCGTGTGTTGACGTAGCGGTGTGGCACGCAAAGTCGCATCACAGCGTTGCTCGATCGTCATCGATTAAGCTGGGCCTTTTCAAGCAAGAAACGACAGCCGGTTGGCTAGATGATGTGGTTGGGTTAATTACCCAATATAGCTAAGTCAAAAACGGGTTTAACGCATATGCAGCTCTAGCTAGCGTTGTTCGGATTGCTTGACCCTAAAGCAAGTGACCAAGTGTAGTGTAATGTAATCCCTCCATCCTATAATATAAGAGATTTTGGATGAATGTGATATATTATAGGACTATGAATCTGCACATAGAAATTGTCCAGGTTCGTAGTCTTAGAATATATCATATAACTCCAAATTCCTTATATTATAGGACGGGGTGAGTAGCAACTTAATCGCGTGGTACGGATTGGTAGGGCGTGACACATGCATTGCATTTCACACACGCTGGCGCCGTATGTACGTGGATGGCGTGTGTCGATCTCCGCGCCGAGAGAACGAAGCGAACGCATAAGATATTATCTCCGTCTCATAAAAATTAAATTTTTTACTTTTAAAACATTTGTCCTATAAAATTGTATTTCTGCGAACGTAAAAAATGTATTTCTACTCATGTGGAACCCAGCAAATTGATTACGTCAAGATATATTTTCTTGTAATCTTCGTTCCTTCCATCACAGGTTGTCCCAACATTCCTATTAAAAGTTTATATAGTAACGTATACTGTACCAACTTCTACCTCCACGGTCAGTTGCTTGTTTAGAAACTGGAACCCGTGCATGTTTATCACAAAAGTTGGCCGAAAAATTGGCCGCTGCGGCGGTGGCCGCGTGCACTGAAACGGGGCGCGTCCGCGTCGCGAGACGAGGCACAGGCCAGTAGCCCACCCACCAACGTGGCGTTTAATGGGCCTCGCCGGCATCGATCACGGCCTACAAGTTTGGGCCGAGTTGCGATAGATTGGGCCTTATATCACTAGGCCTCAATTTTGCTATATGTTTATTGACAAAATTTCTTCTAAAACTTTAACATAATTAATTATAATATAATCATAGTATAATCACATTATAACTTACATGCAACTATGATGTAACTTTTATATATTTTTAAGCCATTAGATTTGTTTCAAGATTCGTGCAAGTGAGAAAGGAAAAATATCATAGCGCCTGTATATGTGTGAGAATTTTGTCCCACTATCTCCGTTTCATAAAAATAGCATATTAGGATGAACTTTTGAAGGTTAAATATAAGTTACAATGTAATTATATCATGGTTGTACTGTAATTTTATAAGTTTAATTTTTGAAATAAAATTTATCAACAAATGCCTGTTAGTTACTTGTTCCGCTCTCGGCTTCTTGGTTCCAAGTGCACTTCCACCTGCGTTGGCTGCGTACTGAAGCCTCCAGAAAGGCAGGCAGGCGTCCAGGCCGCATCCGGTAGATTGCCTCAGGCCGAAATGGTGTAATCAGCAATTTCTTTTGCCACCGGACACTGATGCAAATGCAGCCATGAGCCATGCATTTTGCACTCCACGATGATCAGTTTCCCAGCCTATCAAGCAGCATCAGGTTATAATTGCTCTGCTTAACAAACAAGCACATCGCCTACTAGATCCCATCGTTCTAACGCTCACCTTCACGAGGTATGGGTGAAAAGTCACCAAAAAGTTCAGGACAACAGATAGACAGGGACGGCATTCACTGCAAATTGAGGCAGTATTCATGTGCCAACTACATGGAACTGCCAACAGAATCACCATAGCCAAGCATAGATCAGGGCAAACATCCGACAAGTACAAGCAGAAGCAGAACGGAGTAATTGGACTAGATGATCTGATTATTCAGAGTTTCAAACAACAAGGTAGTCGCTTATTACCCACCCACACACAACACAGAACAGGTACAAGAGATAGCCTCTCAATCTTTACTCTCAAGCATGGACGATCTTCAAGGTTCAGGGACCTACAATACTACTACAAATCGACGAATCATCGCTCCACAGTCACCCGCCGCATTCGAATTTGATGCAGAAGACAACTGACATACAGCAATTGATTGGAGGGGAGTTAGCCAAACACACTTCAGAGCTTACCCTTGAGCCTCTTCTTGAGGACATCCATGACGGCACCGAAGTCAGCCTTCACGCTGACCGGGGGATTCGCATACTTGCAGGCCATGTCTTCGATCTTGCTGTCATGGTAGTCGATCTTGGACTGTGAGAACTTCAGACCATGAGCTGTGCTGACGACTACCGTGCGGTCATTTGGCCCGATGATGCGCTGGTCACGGAGCTTGAACAGTGCTGCGAGGGCAACCCCAGTATGCGGGCAAGCAAACATGCCAGTGCGATCAGCGAGCGACATTGCGTTCATGAGTTCCTCCTCCGTGGCCTCCTCGACGATGCCATCAGTTGCCTTGAGCGCAACCACCGCGCGATCGACAGATACCGGGTCACCAATCTGAATTGCCGATGCAAATGTCGGCTCAGCCACCTGCGGCGTGAACTCAGTCCACCCCGACTTGTAGTACCGGTACAGCGGGTTCGCATTGGCAGCCTGCGCGCAGACAAGCCGCGGCACACGATCGACGAGCCCAAGGACGCGGCACATCTCGAATCCCTTGTAGAAGGCATATATGTTCCCAAGATTGCCTCCGGGAACAATGACCCAATCCGGCACCTCCCAATCGAACTGCTGAAGAATCTCAATAGCAGCAGTCTTCTGCCCCTCGAGCCGAAGGGAATTCAATGAATTCGCAAGGTAAATCGGCAGCTCGGCAGTCACCTCCCTGATGAGCCGCATGCAGCCGTCGAAGTCCGTGTCGAGCGAGAGCACGGTGGCGCCATTGGCAATGGGCTGGATGAGCTGCTCGAGCGAGATGCGGTTGGCGGGGAGGAACACAATGGCCGGGATCCCCGCGGCGGCGCAGTAGGCCGAGAGCGCGGCGGAGGTGTCCCCCGTGGAGGCGCACCCGACTCCGGCGATGGGGCGGGAGAGCGGCGCGCGGCGGAGGCGGTTCACCTGGCTGACGAGCACCGTCATGCCGAGATCCTTGAACGATCCGGTGTGGGAGATGCCGCAGTGCTTGACCCAGAGGTCGTTCATCCCGGCGAGGTGGTCGCGGCCGAGGCGCTCCGCCCAGAAGAGGTTGGAGTTGCCCTCGAAGAGGGAGACGATGTGGTCGGGGTCGATCTCGGGGAGGACGAACTCCTTCTTGGACCAGACGCCGGAGCCGAAGGGCCAGGTGGTGCGGCCGACGCGGGAGTCGAAGAGGTCGCGCCAGTAGGAGCCCGGGAAGCGGGCGAGCGCGTCCATGTCGTGGCGCACGTCGAGGAGGCCGCCCGAGCTGGAGCGGTAGACGATCTCGTCCAGGGAGTAGCGCTCGTCGGGGTCGCCGTTGGGGGCGGGCGGGAAGGGCGCGTACCACGCGGAGAAGTTGTGGTTCGGGGCGCGGTGCCTCGCCGCCTCCTCCCGGATGTTCTCGTCGGCCGCGCGCCGGTGCCTGGTGGCGGCGGCGTCGGTGGCGCAGCGGACGCGGTGGGGGGCGCGGCGGAGGGGGAGGTTAGGGTTAGGGTTAGGGTTGGGGGAGGTGGGGTGGGGGTGAGAGAGGAGGAAGGAGAGGGAGGCGGCGTGGGTGGTGGCCGCCATGGGTGGTGGTGGTGGGGAAAGTTGGCGGCGGCGGCGGCGAGTGGGAGGAGGGAGATGATGGGGGAGGGAGGAGGGTTTTAGGGAGTGAGTGAGGTGGTGGATTTCGTGATGGGGGTGGGTTGGTGGAGAACTACATGGACGGTCGTGATTAATTTGGTTTTAGACGGATGATTATTATTATTATTATTATTATTATTATTATTATTATGGATGATTTTTGTGTTCAGGATAACATGATTCCATCCAACATGTTTCAGACAAACCTGACAACAGACAAGAACATCTCTTAAAGAAAATGTTTGACAAGAACACCTACCAAGAAGAGAAAGAGAGTGGTGACAACTGACAAGAACACTCACTTTGAGTGAAGCAACAAGGGATGAATCAACAAGTCGATATATTCGACATCCACAATGAAATAATTCCTCCGTCCCACAAAGCATGACGCTTCTTCCTCCGTCCCACAAAGCATGACGCTTTAAGGTTTCAAAAGCAAATTAGCTGGAAGGAAAAATGATCAAGTTCTCCTTACTTAATAATAATGAGATGTCATTTCATTGAGTGCAGGGCATTCAATAAGAATACTTTATATCTTTGCACATTGAAGCTATGGCCACAAAAAATACACGTAGCAAAGCAATCATGAGCACATTCAAAAATTCAAAATAGATGGCAATTAAATTGCTCAAACAACATGTTTTGTGGGACACTGGTAGAACCTTAGTCAGGTTTTATGGGACGGAGGTAGTAAGATGATTGCAGAGGGTGAGATAAGAGCTGAAAACAGGCAAGATAGGAAGCCAATGAATTGATCGAGTAGTATATTTGTTAACAATGAATCATGTATAAGTAGAGTTGCGATGAGCAACATTTTGTTGTGTGTTGTAAATGAACACCTTTACAAATCAATTGGGATACATATGCTCAAGGAGAATGGTCCTTGTGCTTTGTGCAGCTATTCTGGGTGCTTCTAACAACAACAGCTATTGTACACTCTTCATTTGAATCCCTAAGCAATCTGAACCTCTGAAGGGAGGCACTTTCATTTATTTAGCATTTCTGATGGCTGTGGAGTGTTCACAAAAGTTGCACCCTTGTTGAATCCTTCGAGTAGCATTATCCTTACTGCTTGCAAGCTCCTATTGATCGTCAAATTAAGCTGCAATACATGGGGAAAAGGGTTAGTTCTTGTTCTGTATGTACGGATCAATGTAGTGTGTGTTTCAGCTTTTCAAGTTGTTGCAAGCCACATGCTGCTTAAGAGAAGTGATCATAGGATAGCACACACATAAAAGTCCAGGCATAAAAATTCTGCAGACAAATACAAACCTCTTCTTGTTCTTCCTTGGTGAATGACCTTAGAACAAAGCCGATAGCATCCAACTTCCCAGTGGGGCGCCCAATACCTGGACAAATATTCGAGGGAAAACAGATCAGACTTTCACTTGAATGAGAAAGAGAAGTGATTAATTAGCTTACCAATCCTAAGGCGTGGGAAATCACGGCTCTGTTTCAAATGGTTAATAATGCTTCTCATCCTGAAATGTTCATGAGTATAATTGTCAGAAGATAAGAAGACTAACAGTCAAAAGATATCTGAATTGTCAATGCCGATAGACATCCTTCGTTTGTAGCTAGACCACACATGAAAGCTCTGTTTTTCTTCTTTCTCCACCCCATTTTGGGGCTTGGAAAGATTTCAAGCTAATATAAAGCTAGCAAAGCTGGATCTTTTTTTTTTTTTTGGGGGGGGGGGAAGGGGGGGGGGGAGGGCATGAAACCTTTCTGTTTTAGAAATTGAAGGCTGAAAACAGCCCACCAGAACTTTGTATTTACTACGGTGGTCAAATTCTACATTGTAGTGATGATAATGTCAATTGTCAACATCATGGAGTGTTCAATTGTGCTTCAATTATTTGAAGCTAACCTCAGATAGACCCCCTAAGTTGAGTTCATAAAACAGAATACTAAGCATAAAGGGATATTGAGAAAGAATGGGTACCCATTATGCCCGCCATGTCCTCCTTTAGGCAGTAAGCGCAATTTTGCAAAGGGTATGTCTAGATCATCATAGATCTAAAAAGAGCAAAGAACAGTTTGTGAACAATCATACAATGTACATGGAAGATTAATAACGTAATGACAATATTTACCACAAGAACTTGACTGAGTGGTATCTTAAAATATGAAACCAGCTGTGCAACCTGCATAAGTCAACAATATTCAGTAAAGACTGGCTGAATAGCAAGTACATTGATCTGAAACTGATTATAGGTTTTGTACTTACAGACTCACCACTTGCATTCATGTAAGTCTGTGGCTTGGCAAGCATTACTGGGACATCACCAATAAGGCCTATATGAAAGATAAGAAAAAACAGTGCATTGTCATATGTGTCTCTATTAAGGTTGTGTTCATGAAAATTTTAAATAAATAGATTGGTCTTTCATGTAGATAATAATAATTAACAATTCCAAAGAAACATTCCTACAGATACTTCTGTTCTTACCATTCACTGAAAAAAGCTCTATTTTTTAAGAAATTAACAAGAAAGTGCATCATGGGAACAAAAAGGTACAGTATCAACTATTGTATTAAACCAATGCAAGCGAAAATATAATTGTTTTAAAAAATGTTAGCCTTACACAAATTAGCTGAGCAACTGAAAGAAATGCATTTATGAAACATTGCAGTATCAGTAAAATGACCTTACTCTAACTCAGTAGTCAGTACACATCTCTACTCTAAAACTGTAAACACATGATACAATTGCACAGTTGCATAATGAAAATCAACAATATATATGCCTAGATTACCTTTACCAACCATTGACTTGAATTGCTTGCTGCTAACAGAAATACCCTCAGCTTCTGCAATAGCATCGATCATCTCAAATCCAACCTGTGTGCAAATACAATAATTACAGAACATGAAAAATATCGTAATATACCAGTACATGGCAAGGAGATAATTCCGCACTTGTAGGGATCTTGTTTTAGGGGAAAAAACATATTTGGCACTTGTACATCCTGATGAATTCTAGGAATTGAGGGAAACTGGGAAACCAAGATCTAGCCTCTAGGAGGCTAGAACTGAATGGCTTCTAAATAACAAGCTCAATGCTGCCAACGAGCAATCAATTCCATTATCCAATGGCAAAAAAATTCTCCTTTGACTCCGCAAAGAAGTCAGCTTTAAGCCAAAGTAGCCTTTCCCCCAACCAAACTATCACAAATCAACATGTAACCCTCTATGTTCTTCATCAGGCTCAAATTGCAGTTTATACCGTAGATACTTACGTTGTGACGAGTCCCCTTGTACATCCTGCCGGGGTTCCCGAGCCCGATGAGCAGCCACGGCTTCTGGGCTCCTCCGCCGCCATCGCCAGCCGCAGCAGCAGCAGAAGCAGAAGCCGACGAGGAGGCGGCGGCGGCGGCGGCGGCTGGGGCACAGCAGGCAGGTCCTGCGGCCGCCATGCTTCTAGGGTTCGCGCGGGGGAAGAAGCGGATGCGTGGGCGGAAGGTCAGGGCGGAGGATGCAGGGAAGCCCGTGAGCAGCAGACGACGCATCGCGCGCCGCCGCCGCCGGTCGCCGCCGCGTTTATACAAGTCGCGGCTCCGCGTCGCCGTGGCCACCACGGAGTCCTAAACCGCACCTGACATGGATTGGGCCGGGCTCGTTGGGCCGGAGTAGAAGATGGTTTCTGTGGAATTTGAGGTCAGCCACAATGTCCAGGATTTTTTTTTAACCTTTTTTCATTTAAGTGGCATAATGCTTGGTCTGTTTTTCCCGTATAGTAAAAATAAGGATGTCATGAATTCCTCTTCTCTCACTGGAAAATGATCCAATTCAGAACTAAGAAGATAGATTAATTTAGACAAAATATTACACCACACACAGAGAATTCAATACTGTAAATTATGTAAATTATAGACGCACAAGAGAGTAAAAGGACTTCACACATACATATTTATAGCGACACGAGACTTTAAGACGACAAACTCCAAATAAACCAACAAGATAAACAACCACATATAGGCGTATGATTATATCCTCAAATTCTAAATAAACCAACTAACGAATCCTCAACTGATTATGCCCTGCTTTTTTCTCAAAAGGCTTGATTATCCCCGGGACAAGTTGGTTACACAATTCTAGATAAGTAGAATATAACACTCTATCCTTGGCGCCCGTGCGATGTTGATTGGTGTGCGCACAGAAAAACTTGAGTTGATCAAGCGTGCACAAACCCAACGTCTCTCCAAGCAGCAGGAACAACCAGTTGATGCGCTCCTTCTCAGCGGCGATCACCGGACGCATGCAGTTCTGTTGGCCGCAGCCGTCGCAGTTGGGTACGATGGGGTTCTTCCACCTCTCTGATGCACGGTCATTCATGCTCATGCAGTTTCGGCGGAGATAATCTTCCAACTCTCGAAACTTGGCCTCAATATCGTAAACGAACTCCTTGCGTACGTCGCAGCGCCTGCACCGAGCCTCACCTTTGATGGTGAAGATGCCACGGCGAGACAGCTCGACGAGAGAGTGGTGTACGGCCACTCTGTTGGTAGCCCACGGATAAGGTGGATTATTCACGAGCACTCTATCGTTGTTTACCATGCCAGCTGCACCATTGTTGTCGTCGCTACCGCCGTTTATACCGTCGCCGGTGATGGCCGGTACGTCGCCTGCGCTGCCGCTGGTGGAGCTTGTGGTGGACGCCGTGCTGCGACGTTGGGTGGGATGACGCGCTGAGGAGGATTCGTGATGGCGTTGGAGATGCAACGACGACGAGCCTGGTAAGTGATAGTATATATGACTGAATTAGGTGCAAGCATGCATTAATTCAGTGATAACGCTGAAGCTAATCGCCAAGCAACTGGGTTAATTGGATTAGGGATTGAACCTGTTGCATCGCCGTTGAAGAGAGCGTCGGTCGCCATGCGAGCAGCTTCCTTGCCATGGTCGATCAAGCTGGTGGTCGCCGAGGCCATGAAAATTGGAGGACCCACCGCCGCCGGCGGCGGCGGCAGCTCTTTGGGGAACGTCGTCGTTACCGGAGAGTCGTCGACGTTCGTTGCGTCGGTGTAGATGACCGGACCGAGCGACAGCTTCAGCCATGTGTCCTCGCTGCCGCCGTCCTGGTCCACCATGGTGAACGCCTTCCTTTTCTGCCCCGACGAGGAGCCGGCGTCGCGCGCCGGCGGCGGCGAGGGCGCCTCCCTCCCCATGATGATGGCCGGAGGCAATCAATCGATCGATCTGCACAGATGCAATCGCACTAGCGATAGAGGCGTCGCGTTTGGTAGTTAGACACACACACAAGTAGTAGAGATTTAAGCGCGCGCGTCGTGTCCCCTTGTTTCAATCTCGTTTCAACGGCCCGACGGACATGATCGATCGCGAGCCGCGAGCATGCAGGACACCACACACATGCAGGCATCGAGCAGCTAGATAGCTAGCGCGTGCACGGTGTTGTGGTGTCCAAAGTTTGAACACCGCATGACATGCAGATGCACGAGTGCACGACTCCTCGCGCGGCCCCCTCGCTCTCGCGTCGCCTAGCATGCAAAGTGCGGTTCCGATCCGCGCGCTATGCTGTACGACGACCATATATGCGTGTGTCGAGCCACGTTTGTTTGTTTAATGTCGTACCAAGATAGGAGCATATACACAGAAACAACCGATAGGCACTGAGCAAGTTAATAGTATAGCCAACTACTGGCTACAATTCATTTATAGCCAATCTAATAGCTCATTCATACAATAGTTACATACTACACTATTAATATCTGGTCCCACTTATCATACACACAATGCGTCTTAAAGTCCGTGCTGCAGCTGACTACAAATCTGTAGCCCGCTGCCCTTCTCTCTCCTCATTTATCTACATAAAATATGTTTACAGCTGGCTTATAGCCTGCTATTGTACCTGCTCTTAGATGGAGTATATTTGGTGCAAATTAATGGAACAAGTGCCTACGAGTAGTAGTTTTCCAAGAGGTGCTGCATGCATGCAGCTAATCCTTGGCAATGGGAATTAGAGCAAGTTTAATAGTATAGCCAACTACCGGCTCCAATTCTTCTATAGCCAATCTAATAGCTTATTCATACAATAGTTACATACTACACTATTAATACATGGTCCCACCTGTCATACACACACTGCGTCTTGGAGTCCGTGCTGCAGCTGGCTATAAATCTGTAGCCCGCTGCCCATCTCTCTTCTTATTTATCTCTTTAAAATATGTTTACAGCTGGCTTATAGCCTGCTATTGTACCTGCTCTTAGTACCATATCCGCACACATGGTCGTCGGTCCAAGCTAACAATGGGAATTAGTACCACATTCCTACTATGTCACGCCCCGAACTAGTCCCGACCGGAACTAGCCCGTGACGCTCCAAATTAACCTGTTAATCGATACCAGTCCCAGGAAACAGTGCTGGTATCACAGGGAGACAGAGTATCACAGCAACAGAGGTCTCTTTATTATAGAGTAGAAGTACAGTCATGTTGGGCTGCGGACAGATCCCGAGCTCACAACTGCATTACAAAAGGAAAGCGGAAGCCAGGACTTGGACCAATCATCACAGGCGCGACTTGGGAACTAGGCCGAAACCCTAAAACTCATCGTAGCCGACTTGCTCCTGGAAGAACTCCTCATCAGCAGGATCCGCTTCATCTTCTTCAGCAACTGGGGGGGGATTATTTATATAGAGCAAGGGTGAGTACGGGAGTACTCAGCAAGCCAGGGGAAATAAGTGTTTAATGCAGGCTTCAAGGAAAGGCTGTTGTTTTCGTAATTGATTTTGTTTGAACTCTTTTCTAAAAAGTCTAAGTGAGTGCTTCTCAAACGACACGGATGAGACAGTGCGTCTCGTCCGGTCGGAGTATGTGCAATGTGTCAGTCTTTAGGATTGCAACAAGGTTGGCACCCGGCCAACAGCTTTTCAAACGGCCACCCGGGCCAACAACTTTTCAAACGGCCACCCGGGCCTAGCTGATCCCATCAGCTGCAGATTTTTCAAACATCGAACCCCTTTTCACAACAGCAATTTCACAAGCAGTAGTCAAACAAAACTACGCTAGGAACCACCTCACATCCGCCCATGACCGTGGGCACGGCTGTTCGAGCAGTTTGTTAACCTCTACAGAGGGGGTACACTTTACCCACACGACATTACTAACCCGGATCACCCAGCCCGTGGGGATCAGCCACGTCGGGAGACCTCCAAGCTTTCATGACAAGGCATTTCGAAAGCCGATACAGGTTTACCATATGCCAACGAGAGGGGTCCCAGACCAACAACAGGTTAGGTCCCAGACCATACTGTGCCAGGAAGCCCAGGGGTCCTCCCCAACACCACCCCGGCGAATCCACATGTCTCTCGGCATCAAGGCTCCCCTGATAAGCTAGTTACTCAGCCAGGGGTGTCCCATTCCACCCATGTGGTCGTACTTGTCTTATGTTTGGATGAAATTCCAAGGAAATCGGTCCTTAAGTGCGAGAGCGGGAAACCGTACACCCGGTACGTTCCCCGGTCCGCGGTTCTAGAAATTCATTTAGTTCGCAAGCACCGACCCAGGTGTCGGGTTTTCCAAATCTTTCGTAAAACCCAAGTTTTACCCAAGTTGTTATTCAGATTATAAGTTTGAAGGCGTCCGTCGATACTCGCACAGGATGCACGAATATCAAGACGCAACTAGGTGGTTACAAGGGGACATGCTGTAACAATTAACAAGGAAAGGATCAAATGCAACAATTTAGGTAGGTCCGCCAATCTGCCTTGCAGACGGAACAATAGATTAAGTGCAATCCTATCAATGCATAATATTTTGCAAGCAATATAATTAGATTTCAAATATAGGCTCAAGATGTTCAAAGGTGGCTTGCCTTGCTCGAGATCTGGAGCTTGATCCTCGAAATCCTCGCACTGCGGGTCTTCGGGTTCCGGAACTACACGCGAAACGGAACAACTCAACAAACGGCGAAAATAAAGCCCTATTAATGACCTCTAAGCGTGCCATTAGATAGATCTCGACATTGCACATACTCCGACCGGACGAGACGCACTGTCTCATCCGTGTCGTTTGAGAAGCACTCACTTAGACTTTTTAGAAAAGAGTTCAAACAAAATCAATTACGAAAACAACAGCCATTCCTTGAAGCCTGCATTAAACACTTATTTCCCCTGGCTTGCTGAGTACTCCCGTACTCACCCTTGCTCTATATAAATATTTCCCCCCCTCAGTTGCTGAAGAAGATGAAGCGGATCCTGCTGATGAGGAGTTCTTCCAGGAGCAAGCCGGCTACGATGAGTTTTAGGGTTTCGGCCTAGTTCCCAAGTCGCGCCTGTGATTGTTTGGTCCAAGTCCTGGCTTCCGTTTTCCTTTTGTAATGCAGTTGTGAGCTCGGGATCTGTCCGCAGCCCAACATGACTGTACTTCTACTCTATAATAAAGAGACCTCTGTTGCTGTGATACTCTGTCTCCCTGTGATACCAGCACTGTTTCCTGGGACTGGTATCGATTAACAGGTTAATTTGGAGCGTCACGGGCTAGTTCCGGTCGGGACTAGTTCGGGGCGTTACAAGAGATGGTATCAGAGCACAGGCTTGGCCCTAGGGCGAAACCCGACGCTTAGGACGACCCTAAGGATACTAAGTTCAAAACTACTTGCGAAAAGCTAAGGTTTCTTTTGTTTTCTTTATTTTCAATAGTTTGTTTCTAAAACGGTTACTGATCTTTCTCCCTCTTTCAAAATTGTAGATGGCAGTGAACGCTAGCTTCAGTTCCCACGGTTTTGGTGAGGGTCACCACGTCGCCCAGCTTCGTGACCTCGCCCGTTTCCTTGGCTTCTCGTGTCCCGAGTACACGGGGTACTCCGTGGACCGTGTTCCCCCTCACTGTGAGCTCTCTGTGTACCTTTACCCCCGTGGAGGTATACACGGGGCTGGCCACTTCACTGTGGCCAGGCCCACCCTCCAGATCGCGTACCAGGACCTCTCCTGGACTGCGCTTCGTCGCCTGGCCCACGACTACAGCCACCGTCTCGGAGGCTCCGCCTTCCGGCAGCTTCCACGTCTTCCTTCTGGGCACTCAGACGCCAGGTACCCTTGTCCGTACAGCGAGTCTCAGCCAGTGCTGACTCGCATGGTCGAGCTTTCGGAGGCTCAGGCCACTCAGCACGACCTACTCCTTGAGGCTTACCGCTCCCTTGCCCGCCGCTACGCCGCCTTGGAGGCCCGTCTGGCCGAGGAGGGTGTCACCTCAGTTGACACTATCTCTTGGGACTCAGGCCGTCTCTGCCACGCCAGCCACCTGTCCTCCCACAGCTCCCGCGGCTCTGCTCGCACTCCCAGTGGCCCACGCTCCCCCAGCTCGCGTGCGCCGTACTCACCAGTGTACTCCCCCTACCCACACCCAGTTAGCCCTTCCTACACCCCCGGACACACTCCAGTCGCTTCCTCCCGCCGTGGCCCACGTTTTATCCGCACTGCGCGGAAGCGTGTTGTTGGTTCTTCCACCGTGTTCCGTTTCTGCCACCCAGCTCCCCCACCGCCAGCGGCCCGTGCTGCTGCCGGCCCTCGACAGGTCCCGCCGGTCCCTTCGCGCCAGCCGATCGACGTTTCTTCGACTGAGGAGCCGACTACAGGGGGCAGCTAGGCCGACGAGGAGTAGAGGAGGCAGTCTTCAGCAGCCGTCCGTGTGATAGGCCCTTTTGTTCCGCCACCAACTCTTTTGGAGTCGTGGCGAGGTAGTGCGTGCGTGTGTTTGTTGTGGGTGTTGTTTGGTAGTCTGGTTCTCCTAGGTGGTGTGCGCACAGTCAAGCTCGGCGTAGCTCTGTGACTTGTCCACACCCGTTGTATCAGGTGTTTTTATGATTTGAAAAATCCAGTTTATGCCTAGTGTGTGCTATCTGAGTTGCTATTTGCTTTGCTCCTTGCCCTCCTAAGTGCTTATCTGACTCTTACCCCGCCCTTTTCTGGGAGTTTAGATGGCTAGCCACCCCCGCCGTGCAGCTCGTGCACCAGCCCGCTTTGGTTTTGAAGATGGTAGAGTTGAAGCAGAAGCAAATCACGAACCAGCTAATGAGCATTCTCACCACAGCAACCGTTCGCACCGTACTGTTTCCCGCAACGCAGAGGTTGAGCAACCTCGCCGCAGCAGCCGCTCGCATCGCACAGTTTCCCGTGAAGCAGAGTTGGAGCAGTCTCACCGCCCTCACC